AGGTTACACATTAATTGTTCATTAGAGTTTCGACAGAGTTTCGACAGTCATTAAGAGGTTTCGCCCACAACCTTAAGCATGCCCCATATAGTACGTAGTAATTTACGAAAAATAAAATTGAGACATTAACTATATTTATTTATTCATTATATTGATTACTTTATTGTTTTTGTGTCATTATGAAAATTAACTAGTTAATCAAAAAATTCATTATACAAAACAAATTTTATTTCGGCTTTGTCCTCCTTAACTGAGAAACAGAGAGAGAAATAAAATTAATATTCGCCAAAGCAATTTTCATTTAATCACGTATAATTAGATAAAATAAATCTTCTTGTAACACCACTCGAGTATGATTTTTCCATAAATGGTGTGGTCACTTTCAACCATACTGTTAATTTATGCTATCAATCGTTTTTTTTTTGCATGTTCCGAATATATTCAATGAATGGTATTCATGTTTTTATATTACAGTCATGCCTCTCCCTTTTTTTCATATGTTTTTCAAATTTTGTAGGGATATGACTGAGTGTATAGAATAAAGACATTTTTAACTGTTCAGATGTGGGATATAAACGAGGAGATTAAGAAGGGATACAAATGGTGGGGATATAAAAGAGGTACGACTGTAGGTGAAATATTAACAAGTTAGATTAATGTTTTTTTTGAAGCTTGATAGTAAAATAAATAGTCATTAAAATGTATTTTTGGTAACTGACTAAAATTTTGTCGATCATCTCTGAAAAAAATTTTTGGGTCACAAAAGAAAATAAATATTTAGTTAGTCATTTGTTTATAGTTCATTTTTTGTAAGGACTGACTGGTACTAGTATTTATTGCTCTTTTAACAACAACTATTACATAAAACGACAGGTTAAACAATGTCACAGTATAATCAAGGACAGTATGGAAGACCTCCACCAAATAGTCAACAAAGTTACTCATCTCCACCACCTAACACTTATGGTCAACAACAAGTTTATGGAGGGGGGCAACAACAACAATATCATCCTCCACCTCAAAGTGAGCATTTGATTAATTGGTTGACTGATTATTAATTCACTATTTCACTAATTTGGTATTTCGATTTCTATATAGGTCAATCTAGTGTTCCTCCATTTAATGAATACTAATGGATTGAGATCTAAGAATGGTTTAATGATAATAAAATTCTTCTTGATATGATATTTATTCGAATTTTTAATAATTACGGATTTCTTTGATATTAATATTAATATTAATGGTCGTGTGACTTATAGTAAAAAAGTAACGATTTACAGTTGTACAATTCATTAAATCTATATTACTGATACTTCTTCAACTTCAATTTCTTTCAACAAGAGATGCAATTATTGCTCCAGGTAAAATTTTTTTTTTTGAATTTTACAATATTTATACTATATAAATAAATATAAAATAAAAAATATTTTTGCAAATAAAATTATAAAATATACATTAAAATAAAGATTTTTCATTTATTATATATAGTGTATTTGATTCAAATCATGGA